ACACGCTTTTAGTGGAGCTCTCTTTTTCTCATCACACATCAATAGACCTCTAACAGCTGAAAGGAACACCAACTCTCATGACCAAATACTCTCAAAAAAAAACCTTCAAAACTCCCCTTTCGGCGGCGATTTTGTGCACAGCGCGTACTATATTCATTTTTTGCGCCACTACCTGCTGGTGGCCTTTTCTGCTTTGGTGGCATCGAAGAATATGCCTAGGGAGGGAGAGAACTCCGGGAGGGTACTCACTTGATCACATTATTTGACACACTCCATCTGTTGGCCCAGGGCGAAAGTGGTGTAGTGGCAAGTGGCACGCTTACCGAGCGGTCCAGGGATCAAAGCCTGGGTCGTCGGTCGTTTCGGCCCCTGAGGGAGGGAGGAGGGAGGGTCGTATTTCCAGTTTTTCCTCGACGTTTCGCTTGACCCTGGTCGTGAGTCGCCCGGGCCAACCAAGCCTTCCATCCCTCCGGGGTCGGTTAATTGGTACCAGACTTGTCTGGGAGGATAAAAACACTGACTTGTACATCGGCTGGCCCCCGCAAGTCATTGTATAGGCCACATCGCATTCAAACGCCACTACGAATGTACAAATGGAAGTAGAATGGGATTGATCAACGGCAAATGCTCCATCCTTTATTTATCTGTTGCCCAAATTTGTGATCAGCTCACCCACCCTGATGCCCACTCCTTTCTCTAGGCTCAGGCTCAAGCGCAATATCGCATTTAAAGTTTCAAAGTAGTGCAAATAGTGCAGATGTCAAAATGAATGTCCGTGTTTTCAGGGCACCGATTCACCCTTGCAAGCAACATTTAGCTAAACTCTTCGAGATTGTTGGGATACAATGGCCGAATAATGTTCAAGCGAGTAGGTAGATAGATATGCTGGCGTTTCTCCTTTTTGAACACGTCTACTCCAAATTTTTTTAGCCTCAGTGAAGAGGGGGTCACTTGCTCAATTCGGGCAGTCCAAATCCGCACTTTCAACAGTAGCGCCTTTCAGGCTGCACAAACTATTCTTAAATTTATCATAGAGACAAAATTATGAGAAACTTACCATTCCCAAATGGAGACGGCAGTGCTCTTGGCGATATCCACAACTTTCGCGCACGCTTTTGGTTCAGGATCGGAAATCTCCTTTGGAGTAACCTCTTCTGCAGGAGCCTCTGTATGCGGAGGTTCCTTCGACTCTTTCGTTGGTGCTATGGTCTGATCGGTTGCTTTCGACAACAATTCTGTCAGCAGTTTCATATCAGAGAACACAGGAGAATTTTAGGGTTACGTAGATACGACGACAGCGCAAGAGACGTTCTCAGCCGACGATTTCGGCTGCCGACTTTAAATGTGGAGCGAGTGGAACCAGATCTGGTTTGTCGATGACTCAGCAGTTCAGAAAGCATATCCATTCATTCGTCAGCGAAACCAGATACCCAGTGAAGGCCTTTTGAGTGATTTGAATAGTTGAAATATGTAAATAAACCAATCACAGTTTTTTTTTCAGTTGAGCACCAAGAAAGATAAAAGCATAGCAAGGCAGTCGGAGCTGATAAGAGGGTTGTGCACTCTTTTCCCTGCCATCTGAGATCGTAAAATTGTTCGGATGGAAAAAGTGCCTATACTTGATTGCTGTCCGGGTTGATGGCTGCCTTCAAATTGAACACTCAGAATCTCTCCATCATATTATTATTACAGATTAGTCCGCAACCGCCGGGACTTCGTTTAATGCGTCAAGCTTCTATCTCTCGCGTATAGTCCTTCTTCCTGTGACATCCCAGAAACCCCTCCTGGAAGTGACAGCGTATGGCAAAAATCATGATATTGACAGCGCTCACGCACCTTTTTCGCTGCCTTCCTCATCCTCCCTTCCTCTTTCCACTGCCCTCCAGCTGCCACTGCAGCACCATGTGGAATGAACGGAAGTGTGCTAAGCAGGTGTTTATATAGCCCTAAGAGTGTTATCACAACTATCCTGCTACAAAACATTGATATCTCAAATCCTGTAAGCTACCCGATTTGTTAGCGGTTTGTTTATCCCATGAGCTTCCTTCTCACTCACTTCATTTTGCGGACGGACACCTCCAGTCGCATAACATTAATAGTCACCACACACACTCAGTCACGAGACCACCACAATACAGATTATTCCAAACCGACTAAGGAAACCCACAAAGTTAGCGCTTTATATTATAGAAGGATCGATCATAGTGGTGGGATTAAATTCCCGGTGTCGAAGAAGCAAAGTTTCCACGATGGAAGGTTACGGTATCAAATCCCAGTTTTTCGATCCCACAGAGAAACTAAAATAACGAAAACATCAGCTGATTGGGGATGTCGGCTTATTATTTATTGTTTATCAGTTATATTTATTTCTAAATGCACGCAAGGTGTGTCGCATAGCTTTTTGCGTAGCATGAAGAAGGCAGTTCTTAAGGCAAAAATATCAAGAGACACGAAGAAAAATATCGTATTGGTAAATTTTATCTTACCGGGTTTGTGCAAAAAAAGTATCGTCATTATACGGTCAGAATTTATGGACCACTATAAGTGAGGAAGTAGAAGGTAGAATACGTAATGAATAGCAGTGTGTGTTTCTTCTCCCTGTTAGTCACAAATTGTCTTCGATATTTCCTTCTGGAGTTTCGCTATTGTGTGCTTTGAGTTCTTCTTTGATTGAGATTAACTGTACTTTTACGCCAGCTATTCATAACGGCCCCAGGAGAAGTTGGGGACCTACCCGAGTGGTGTCCACCAGAGTCAACCCTGCGTTGCGCAGTTTTCAACGGCCACGTTGCGCAGTTTCGCCCGATTAGACACGTTCTCTCGCGCGAACATTCACACTCGCATGCTCGAGCCGTCTGTGTCTCCGCCCATACAGCGTGCGTTGAGGATCTCTCGAACGTGCCGTTGCGAATTGGTTGGAGCAACGGAGGTCTGAACTCTGGTCGGAGCCGTCCGCACCAAGCGGCTTGCACTGTTGGATCAGTTGAAATCTGGTTCTACCATTTGTCTCTTGTGGTGCTGCCTCCTTGTTTGTGACGACCGCTGAACACCCTCCCAAATGTAGTAGTCTATACTATTTATACATATTACCCAGCTGACTGCACATTGACTCGATATTTTTTCCTATTTTGTTCGTAGTTGTATAATATCCTATTTTATTTGCCACTGTATACTCCCCTAATGTTTATATCCGCGAGTTTTATTCGTAAAGGTACCATAATTGATGTATTGCTAACATTGTCTGCACAGGGCTGTTGATAACTACAAGGCACAAAAAATGAACCAAGACAGTACTGCTGCAGAACCTTCGCTAATTGAGGTTGTTGCACAACCTGTGAGCAGCTTCCCAAAATGTTAGGTCTCCGGACATCTGTCAACCGTGAGGCTAGGCAATTCAGCGTTTTGTTGTGCTGTCTGGGAGCTCTCACACAAGCGCACTATTACAGAATCTCCGCTTTCTTTACCTCCTTCAAAAGGCTTAGTCCCACTACCACAAAGAACGTCTGCTTTTCCTTCTACACTCTCACCCCCTGGTTGACAGAAGCCTTGTAACCAAAATGTTATGCCATTGCTCCCGGAACCACTCTAAATTTGCAGAACAGATCACACGCTCATCGCGGCACTACTTCCCCGTCATTAGGACCACGCCTTGGTTCCGTATGACGTAAGTCACAACCCTGATAAGAGCCCCTATAAATGGCGGGCTCATGAGAGTTTCCAGATAGCGAATAATGTTCGTAAAAGTTTGTGTGCTTGCCGTGCTGATCTCCGTTGCTCTTGCGGTGAGTTTCGTTTCCATTATCAAGTGGAATGCGCCATGCCTTCGCACGTTTGCAGGATTTCAGGGTTTCCTCACTACTTTTATTTTATCATTTCAGCAACGACCAACTCCACCCGCACCTTCAGAGTGCCAAATCTGCGAGCATCTGATCGCTCAGGCTAGACATCACTTCAACAACAATGTTAAAAACGAGAAGGCTCTTCAGCAGGAGGTGACTTTTATGAAGTAATTTGCATAATATGGGAGCGGGGTGGCGGAGGGTAAGCGTGAAGCATTCGGTGTTGACCAACCAACTGTGCGATGATACGCTCCGCACATGAATTCAGTGCGAATTTTTACTGGCATTTTAACAAGTGCTAGACCCTTGGTTTCTAGGGCTAGGGCATGTGACTACAGCTTGTCAAATATGCCCCCATAGCCTGAGGGAAAGGGTTAGGAGAGACATTCCAAACAGGGCATTTGAAAGCGACCGGTAGACGACACGCGCACTAAGCCAAGGAGAGCGGAGAAACGCGAAGGAGAGCTAAAACTGCGCACATCTTCTCCAAGGATCCTTTCCCTTCCCTGAGGCTTATGGTTAGTTCCAAACTGTATGTAGCTCATTCAGCTCATTGAATGTTCCCCAGCGAAGCGCCGCCAAATAAACCTGAGTTCTGTGGCCCCCAGATCTCTATGGCCTACATACAACATTGAACATGTATGCTAGTGGGAGTCAAAGAGATGGTCTGCCGCAAACTTTGATTAGCCAAGTGGGACGCTATCGAATGAGGCAGAGCGACAAGTATGGAGATACTCTCACACCAGGCGCTGCCTTTGTCCCCCATAAGCGCATAGACGCACCTAATTAAGGTGGAGAAGAGGAATTTTAAAGGAGGAATTCACGATTAGAATGAAGGTCGAAGAAAGGGAAACTGACCTAGTTGAGGGACCCACGGACCTCCTGAGGGTGCGAACTGACGCGCAATTCGCATGGAAAAATTTGACCTCGGCGACCTATCATGCCTCAAAGCTGGCGGGTCCGGCGATCTCCGCCCACCGATCATCTGATCACTCGCCGTAGTTCAATACGTGGCGAGTGATTAGATAGCTGAGAGAGCGTAGTGTTGAAGAGGGCACAGCGATGAGAGTCGCATCAATGCTCGAATCAACGGGCAAGGAAGGGGTCCCATTTCTCGGGTTCTGGGCCGTTTCTCATGGTTCTTCCTTCTTTCGTGTACCACTCACCATCCCTAGGTTAATTTGAAATGGGTTGCTTTTTCATCGTGAATTCGTCCTTTAAATAAAGGTGCAGTGATGTCGCAAGTGTCATGCAGGTGTGCTGTGCATTGACGTCACCGTTTTGTAGTGCCGTTGAGCGACTCTGATCGAAGCCTTTCACTTCGCATCAGTAATAAACTCGCGCTCCCCAACCCGATGTGTAGCTCACCTTCAGCTGTGACAATGAACTCATGCAACTTTATCAATCCTTACCCCCTCAGTTATGTTTATCTAAACAAGTAGTGTAGCAGCAAACAGCGTAGCATCAGCTGAGAGCAGGAGCAGGACAGCTCTACAGGGTTTGAGATGCTCCATACACACATCTGCTATCCACAGGATATTCAAATGTACTTCAAAAATGTCTTTATTAGCTGGTGTAAACAGCTCTCAAAAGAGTACCATCCTTGGAAAGAAGTCATTTCCATCTGACTGCGAGCTAATCCTAAAAAGCGACTGTTGTCAATCTGGATGAAGCGCTAAACTGCAATAAGATAGCCGACTATTTCATTTACTCTGGCTTGGAATTAAATTGAGCTACATTTCAAGAATAACTAGTCGTCGCCATGTTTACAGGCTCCATACGCTCACATGAAACGCACGCGCGATCAATACCTATGAAAGTATTGCTTTTGTTGACCGTGGTATTGTGATAATGGTCAGTTTTACAGCTGCTCAACGAGTGCAAACATTTGCCTCCACAGGAAGGTCCATCTGGCGAGAAGACTTGTATCGAATGGTTGAATAGAACCATCGATAAATCTTCTCGGGAGTCTCTTCTAGGGATGCTTACTGAGATTCTAAGGCATTCACTGGGTGTCACTTTGTCAAACAGGAGGCAGATGCTCGCTTAAAGGCAAAGGTCGGGATTAGTTGACCAAACCAACCCTTTCGGTCATGCCTGTACTTGGTTACGCACCCGTAGAGATGTTCCCACACTCAAAACCCGAAACGGCGCAGTAATAAGGCCCCAGGGCATGTACTATGCGCTATCGCCGCCTGGCCCCGCTACGACCGCCCACCTTGGGATGTGGTGCGTGGCTGGCATAACGTGTGAAATCAGCTAGGTTGATTGCCGTATCAACCGATAGAACGACTGATATCTTCAGAAAACTTGTTTGTACGTGCCTCTTCCCCAAGACAGCCTCCTTCATTGCTAGTGGGAAAGAGAGGTTTTGTTAACGGCCTTGTCGACGGTTTTTTCAGTTTTTTCGACACTGTCGTTCTACTTTGCATTCTCTGATCAGTTGCACTCGCCATATATTCATTAGTGAGCCCTTACTTTTGCCTAGTACAGTTTCAAACGTGGGGTCGTTTATGCCATTTGAAAGGGGGACTGTATTCGGGTTTACCATCAGTATTGTCTGGACAATCGCGAACGGCGGGCCGTATTTGTAGGCGTTTTAGTGACTGGAGTACCACTCTGAGAGCGCATAAGTACATAGCTTCGGCCCTCACCTCTGCAACGCCTCCCACCTTCCTTGTCGGCCACAAAACACCTACGACAACATCAGAAATCCTGTAAGCGTGGTTTTATTTGCTCGCTCCATAATATTCGCATTTCTGAGAAGAAGTCGGCGCGATCCCCAGCAGAATGGGCCAAGAATGCCCAATCACTCCTTTCATTCTCTCACTATAATTCTCTTCATTTTCAGGATATCCAAGCCGGAGATCGTGATGGACAGACATGCTTTGACATCGGTGCATGCACTAGCATTCCCACTTTCCAGACTCGTCCTTATCACACCAGACCGCCAACGAACCTTAGAGCTCAACGCAAGTAGATGATCTGATCGAATTGAGTGTACCTATAAAGCTTTAATAGTCATGAAGATATTTCCTTATATGTTTAATCGTAAACTGGAATATATCCCACTTTGGCAACTATGAAATATTATCGAAAAGGTTTTGGGTCGGTGGGTTTTGAGTGGTAAGTACACAAAATCTGAGTGGTACAAATCACTTTAATAATATTCAATGCGGTAAGGTTATACGGACTTCACTCGATTTTGCTACAACCTCTAAAAAAATGGCCTCGCTATGACCTGTTCTCACAAAAAGTCTTATACGTTTTCAGACATAGATTATGATGGACGTTCTGAGAATGATATCGAGCTGGATCTATTGAGTCATTAAAAGCAAACCCCAGGATTAGCCCCCACTAGGACGAAGCATACCCGAAGTTGTGGGGTCCGTAGCTTCATCGCACAAAAAGCGCGATTAGGGCGCTAATCCTTACGGGCCTGCAACCATCGACCCCCGTTGCAACGCTTCCCACCCACCGCGATTGATGTAGAGATCAGCGTGCTCTCTCGCGTGTTTTGTCCCTTTTGACTCCCTGTCTCGCCATCGTACCACATCCGACCTTACTGAAGGTTGAAGGCCTTAAATTTTAAGCGTTCCCGATTCTCTTGCTTTCCTTCCCACTTTCAGGTCATTCCGCAGCTCAGTCATCACTACAAAGTGCTCTTATACACCAGTTTTATCCCGGGGATTGCCTTTCAATTCCATCGTAATGAAGTGACTACAACCAAATTTTAGCGTGGACTGACACTTCTACAACTTTTTACCTTTTTTGCAAGGGTTCAGCAGCGGTTTTGCCTTTGCCATCACCTAAGGAACTAAAAGGTATAATAGTTACAAAATTTCGTCAGGCAATTTTTCGTATTGGAGCTTTGTGTTGATGATCACAACTGCGTTTATAGGCATCGCGGTGAAATTCTAGTTCGTGGGAGGGAAGGGGGCATACTATACTGATATGTGCTCTCCAATACTAAGGATAAGGATAAGAGTTTTCATGACACGTAATCGATTCACTTAAAGTTACTTCCGATAAGGACCGGTGTATCGTGGAAGTACTCCTGAGGTGCTTTCAGATTTCGGCCTGCTGTGGTCCAAGGAAATGGTCCTAAA